AACAGCACTTCAACCGCTTCACCGTTTGTATCACTCCGCTTCCAGTATTTCTCACAGCGAGTCTCATGGTGGACGCCCAAATCCACTATAATTTAAAAAATAATACTGTTTTTGTGTCACGGAATGTAGTTTTAAGAGTTTTTTTAGGCGAGAATGTACTTGTTTAGTCTTTAAATAATAAAGATAACGTCTATTTGAACATTAGCTTCGATGTTTTGGGAGATGTGAGCTCCAGGGCGTCAGCGGCCGTTCAGCGCTCATGAACCCGCCGAGAGCAGCCTCACCTCGGCCAGATCTTCTGGAAATCACAGCTGGCTCTGATGTCTCTATAGTGGTTAAACATGAGATATAATTCGTTTTGGGTAATTCTAATGGGCAGTCTTTGGTCTCATTAATCTATTATTTGTTCCAGAGCAAATAGTTGTGGCTGAGGGAAAAATCTCATAACGTTATATTTGATGTAACTTTAATGCTGTATTTCAGAGCGCTGCCTTTGTATTTTTGACTGTAATGTCTAGAGACTTTTATGATGGCTGTTGTTGTTGTTTTATTAAATATTATTATTCAATAAATAACATTTTATATAAATAATAGTATTTAATTATAGCATTTAGTATTGTGTGTGATCGTGATGGTGATTTTAGTAACATTGTTCCGCCATTAGATAGAGACAAGAGTCCGCTTTAAAGACTTTTATATTGAAAGAGACTGAAACAGGGTTGTAAACAAGAAAGTTATTTTTACTTTCTACAACAGCTTATAAGACGCAGCCAACAAATGCAGTGAGCAGCGCTGTCATCAGAAATCACCCTTAACAGATGAAAGGACAGTACGACAAAATTTAAGCTTATTTGCTTTCAGTTACTTGTCAAGGCAACATTTATCATTTTCATTTAGTTTAAGTTCAAGTACTAAAAAAAACTAAAACTAAAACTGAAATAAAAATTAATAAAAAAAACTACATAAACAAATGTTCTTAAAAAATCCCCAAAACTAATAAAATATAGCAAAATGTAAACTTATTTGATTTAATTTAGTTGCCCAGGCAACATTTATCATTTTCATTTCATAAGTTGAAGTATTAAAATTACTAAAACTGAAATAAAAATTAATAACAGAAACTGACATGTTAAAAAAATTAATAAAATTAACATAAAATTTTGAATGAATTTTATTTAATTTAGTTGCCCAGGCAAGATTGATCATTTTCATTTTTATAAGTTGAAGTATTAAAACGAGTAAAACTGAAATAAAAATTAATAAAAGAAACTAAATAGACATATTTCTAAAATATTCAAAAAATTAATAAAACACAATTTTTAATTCTTTTATTTCAGTCAGTTGCCCAGACAACATTTTCATTTAGTTTAATAAAAAAAAAATCATATATATATATATATATAAACCTTTAGTTATCTAATTAAATTACCAACATTTGTGTCTGTAGAAACTTTATTTTCATTATTGTTATTATTTTTTAAATGTATGAGTTGGACCAGATAAAAAACTAGTTTTAAATGAGCTCGTTATGAATGCAAAACTCATTTGGCTCCTGGTTATATAACCACAGTCATCGTTCTGCAGTCATGTACATCATTTACACACGGGACGGGAAGAAAGAGCTGAGAAATGAAAGACACGTCAGCAAAATCAGCTGAATCAGCAAAACATCTGCGAACGCTTCGCAGCAGAAAAACCACAAACAGCTCAAAAATGAGTTACATAACAGCGTTCATTCATCAGACGAGAAATACAGCGACCAATACAGATCAATCACGTGAAGAGAACGTCAGGGGCCTAATGTTACATCAACCTCAAATCAGCTTGATTTACTCCAGCGTATGATTAAGAGCCATTCATTAGCGCATGTTATTCTGAAGAAACTAATATTTATCCTCACAGTCGTTCATCGAAGTGTAATGACTTTCCTGCTCTAGATTGTAGAAATGTCATAATTTCTTTCTCATATTCAGTGTTTCACTCAGAAAAATGGATTGCATTTTAGAGAATTCTGTGAAGCCTTGATTATATTCAGATATTTTTATATTTGAATTATACAGAAAACTAGAATGTGGAAAAATACAGTTTTGGTTCAATTTAACATGCTAAATTGAAAGCTAGATGATGCATGGTATTCAACAAGACAATGGGCAGAGAAATCGCAATTTAATACAGTAAAATCAGGGTTTTCTCCAATAAAAATATACAAAAATAATGTGAAAAACCAAAGGCCTCAAATATATATGCTGTAAAAATGATTTTTCGAAATTTTAAATAAAGCAAAGATTATTTATTTATCCAGTAAATACTATTTCAGTCTTTCTACTTCAAAATTTCACATTTAATTCAGTGTTACTTGCCGATTCTTTGTAATTATTTAAATATTTTATTAAATTATTAAATTATTATAAAAAAAAAACATTAACTGAAATAAAATAAAATATAACAAACATATTTTATTTCAGTCAGTTGTCAAGGCAACATTTCTAAGTTTCATTTAGTGAAAGATGAAGTATTAAAATTACTAAAACTGAAATAAAAATTAACAAAATAATTATATAGACATAAAAAAACAACAAAAAAAACGAATGAAATACTACAAACTTAAACTTATTTTATTTCATGTCTAATTTTCCATTTAGTTTAAACTGAGTTACTAAAAAAACCTAATAAACTAACAAACTTAAACATTTCTTATTTTCAATTAGTTTAAGCTGAAGCGCACAAACTAAAACCTATACCAAAAAAAAAGAAATAAAAATAAAAAACTATATAGACATAATAACAAAAACTAAAAACGAATAAAATATAACAAACTTTGTCGTTGCCAATGCAATGTCTCATTTTCATTTAGTTTAAACTGAAAACAACAACAAACAACTAATAAAATATAACAAACTTAAACATTTCTAATTTTCATTTAGTTTAAGTTGAAGCGCTCAAACTAAAACCTGAACCAAAAAAAATAAAAAAAATAATACAAATAAAAAACTATATAGACATAATAACAAAAACTAAAAACGAATAAAATATAACAAACTAAGACTTATTTAATTTAGTTGCCAATGCAATGTTTAATTTTCATTTAGTTTAAACTAGGGCTGTCATCGTTAACGCGTTAACGTATGCGATTAATTTTACAATCCTTAACGCGTTAAAAGAGTTGTCAAGGCAACATTTCTAAGTTTCATTTAGTGAAAGATGAAGTATTAAAATTACTAAAACTGAAATAAAAATTAACAAAATAATTATATAGACATAAAAAAACAAACAAAAAAAAAACGAATGAAATACTACAAACTTAAACTTATTTTATTTCATGTCTAATTTTCCATTTAGTTTAAACTGAGTTACTAAAAAAACCTAATAAACTAACAAACTTAAACATTTCTTATTTTCAATTAGTTTAAGCTGAAGCGCACAAACTAAAACCTATACCAAAAAAAAAGAAATAAAAATAAAAAACTATATAGACATAATAACAATGTCACAGAGGCGAACTCCGTGATTCCCTCTTCCGACCATCAGAGGGCTCCCTCACCCGAATATTGACTCTTACACTCTCACACTACATTTCCCATCAGCCCCGTATCTGGCACTGATCACCTAGCCCAGCTGTAGCCCATCAGCTGGCCTATATAAACAGTCTGTTCCTTCCAGCTCATTGCGAAGTCTTG